ACCAGCCAGGCTCTGGCACAGGAACCAGCCAGGCTCCGGCACACGAACCAGCCAGGCTCCGGCACAGGAACCAGCCAGGCTCCGGCACACGAACCAGCCAGGCTCCGGCACAGGAACCAGCCAGGCTCTGGCACAGGAACCAGCCAGGCTCTGGCACAGGAACCAGCCAGGCTCCGGCACAGGAACCAGCCAGGCTCTGGCACAGGAACCAGCCAGGCTCCGGCACAGGAACCAGCCAGGCTCTGGCAGCAGGGTCCCAGTGCTGCTCTGGGCGCTCACCTCTGCTGCCAGCCAGCCCAGCCTCCCCCACTCCACCGCACCAGCCCATCCCATGCGGCCCCAGGTAGGCACCTTGTAGAAGGCGAGGGGTCCGAGCTTGGCAGTTTCCATGGCACAGTGGGTAACACCCTGGAACAAGAGGGACAGACATGAGGAGGTGGCAGGAGGCAGGGGCCAGTGCGCAGAGGGGACAGGACGGGATGTACTCACCCGGTACTCGCCCTGGGAGTTCATGAGGCGGGTCTTGAGCACGTCCAGGGGCTGGCACAGGAATGTGGCACATCCGCCCTGGGGAGAGTGAGCGGGTCAGCAGCTCATGGTGCCAACAATGGCCAGGGCACCAGAGAGACACAGAGCTTCGCGCCCGGCCCTGTCAGCAGCTCTGGCAGCCCTGCCTGCCAGCAAACCCCATCCCAGTCCTGCCTCCCCTCATCAAGCCCTGCTCACAGCGATGAAACTGGCCAGGAAGTGAGTGAAGATGTTGTCTGACAGCAGCCCAGTGGCAAGAACCAGCTGCTTGGCCTGGTCATAACAGGAGAGCTGCGGAGACACGGCCCATTACTGGCACATCCACCCTCCTCACCACAGCAGGGACAGCCCCTGTCCCTACCCGGGCACCAGCTGTCCTCCAGAGCTGTCCTACCTGCCCAACAGTGACCAGGGCCCCTCGGCTGGATGCCATTGTGGCTCCAGAGAAGAGTTTCTTTAGGCCCTCTGCGGACAGACAGATTGGGATCAGCACAGCCCTGGGACATCACCCACACTCCCTTCCCTGCCCAGCCCGTGTCCCAGAGTGTCCCAGACTCCCCACCCAACAGTGCTTGAAACACAGCAGCAGATCTGCTGCACAGCCCTGCCTCCTTCCTGCTGCCGTTCATTCCCCTTCCCACCCGCTCCAGCCCCCCGTGCTTTTCCCAGCAGCTCTCCCGTTCACACCGGAGCACAGCCGGGCTGCCCGGCCCAGCCCCAGCCAGATGCTGCAGAGGTGCTCTCAGGCCCCCTTCCATCCCCTCTGCCTGCCCCGGCTGAGCGAGCACACGCGGCAGCTCCAGCCAGAGCTCCCGGCCCCATTCATCCAACCGCGCATTCCCGGTGCCAGCAAGGAGAGCGCGGGCAGGCTCACCCTACCCGGCTGGCACGGCCTCACCTTCCCGAAGGACGCGGTACATGCCGTCCAGGGCATGGGAATAGCTGGAAGGAGCGAGAGGGGAAGGTGTCAGGGTCCGAGGCTTCCCGGCAGCCCCGCGCAGGCGGCTGAGCTCCCGGGGCTGTGCTCCCGCAGCCCCAGCCCCGCCGTCCCCACGGAACGAACGGCCCCAGCCGCCGGTCCGGTGCTGCCCCCCCGCGGCCGCAGGGACCCCCGGTCTGCACCCGAGCCCTCACTCACTTGCGCCGCTGGGAGGGCGGCTGCTTCACGTCGTTCTGCATCCTGGAAGGCAACGCACCGCGGGGTGAGGCGGGGCCGGGGACCCGCTGTCCACCCCCAGCCCCAGGGCCCCGCCTGGGCAGCGGGCAGAGGCCCAGCAGACGATTGTGTCTCCCGACTGCAGCAGGACGGGAAAGGGGTCTCCAGCCCCACAACCCCCAGAGGCCGCACAAGGGGCTGGGGCTGTCGCACCGAACACAACAGCTCCAGTCCTGGCACAGAGCCTCCCACCGGCACCAGCCTCCAGCCGCAGCACGGCCGGTCAGGAGAGAGGTCAGGAGCACGGGAGCACCCACCACCCCGACTGCCGTCACACACCAGCCACGAGCTGCCCCCAGCAGCACCAGGACGTGGCAGCACCGACCTGACGTTCACCAAGTCTGCCGGTGTCCCCACGAGCCCGCCGGTGAAACCTGCAGCAAAGAGCTGGGGTCAGGGGCTCCTGCGGCCTGAGGCAACCCAGGGCGAGGGTTCCTCTGCCCCACTCACCTCCCACTGCACCCAGCAGCACTTTCTGGTAGAAGGGGGGAGGCCCCTGGCTGCCCCGGCCTAAGCGGTCCCGCGCTGTCTCATAGATGCCGAAGCGAGTCAAGGAATACGTCATCTGGAGGAGAGGAGGAAGAGCCACTGGGTCCCACTGGGCAGCCTGTCAGCTCCAGCCCCGCTGCCAGACAGCAAGGGCAGTGCTGCGGCAGGAGCTCCATGGGGGACCAGAGGCCACCGATGCACGGTGGCACTCACCTGCCGGCACAGGGAGGCGCTGAGCCCGTTGTACAGGGCCAGGAAACCGTCGTTGCGGATCACATGCATTGCCATCCCCATCATCCGCATCTTCACCTCCTGCTGCGTCTGCAGGTGGACCTGGGGCAGAGCCGGCAGTGTCAGGGCACCGGCCTGGTGCTGGGTGCAGGGAGCGCAGGGACAGCCAGTCTTGCCAGGATAACTTGTTAGCACTGGAGCAACAGCTCGAGGCTCCCTGCACCTCAGCAGCACTTGGAACCTGTCCCAAGCAGCCTCAGAGGGAGGAGGCTGGTGGGAGAAGGTGAAGTGCTGAGGCACCTGACCCAGCCCCTCCCAGGCACTGCGCTGCTCCGAGCACCCACTCCCCCGAGAAAGGCGCTGGGCCAGAAACACGAGTGAGCAACCGGCAGGAGTTTGCTCTGAGGAACCACGCCGGGGCCATGAATTCATGACCTCGTGCTACCCGCACCCTCACCACACACGGCGGCCACGGCCTCCAGAAGTCACTTCCCCTCCTTCCCAGCCACAGGAATCGCAGAGGCAGGAACACAGCCCCGCTCACGCGCTGGATGCCATGACCGGGCACAGCCTGGGAAGGAGGGTGCTCCGCTCCCAGCCTCGGCAGCGGGACATGGGGCTGGCCGGGACAGAGCAGCATGTCCTGAGCAGCCCCCTGCCCTACACCACAAACATCACGTGTGGGTCAAAGGGCCAGCAGATAAAATTAAGAAGAGCAAAGGGCCGCTGGCGGGGGCCCAGGCCTGGCTCCCGTTACGGAAGCGCCGGAACGGCCGGAGCGTGGGACACGCCACAGGACGCTGGGAACAGCCTCCCTCTGTGCGAGGCCGCAGGGCAGGGACCTGCCCCCGGGCCCGGCAGGCGGAGCCTGGACAGCAGCGGCCGGAGCACGGGCAGAGGCACCGGGCAGGCAGGTAGGGCAGCGCCGCAGCAGGAAGCCCGCTGCTGCCTCCCTTTCCAGGGCCGCGGGCGGGCAGGGGAGGAGCCGGGCAGCGCTGCGGTCACTGCCGGGACAGGCAGCCCCGGGGGCGGCCGGTGGCTGCCCGCGGCTGGTTCCAGTGGTCCGGCGGTGCCACGGGCTGGCTCCCACCAGGTTAAGGTCCAAAGGTACGGTGAAGCACCCTTCACCCCCTACCCTGCAGGCCCTGGGCCCCTCGTGCTTCCCCAGGCCTGCACCAGCCCCAGAGCAGATGAACTCTGGGCCAAAGGCAGGTCCGCGGTCAATATCCAGGTGTAAACTTGCTGGCAAAACCAGCCCAGGCTGCTGGGCTGCAGGGCACACAGGGGCTGCCTTGTGGGGACACAGCCCAAAAGTCACACCCGTCACTGGCTCAGAGGCAGACCTGCAAGCATGTGCCAGACAAATTCCCTTTCCTGGCACCTCACCAGGGCATCCTCCGAGCCCCCGTGGGCTGCCAGCCAGGCACAGCAACAGGCCGAGGGCCGGGGAAGCAGCATCCCCCTGCCAGTGCCGGCTCCTCTCCTGGGCCGGTGCCCGCCGCATCCTCTCCTCTCTCCAGGCGCGGGGTGGGTAGGGGCTGCCTGCCCCAGGCCGTGCCCTCCCGCTGCCCCTGCGAGTCCTGCCCGGGCTCCTTGCTGCTTGGCACAAGGCTCGGGCAGCGCTGGCATTCGCCCCGCCGTGGGTGCTGGCAGCGCAGGGCTGCGCGCGGCGCGCTTTGTGCGGGAGCAGGGATGCCAGCCCGGCCAGGGCGCCTCGGTGACACCTTGGCCTGAGGACACGGAGTGCAGCGGGCCCGCGTCCAGCGCTGTGAGCCCCGGAGGCGCTGCCGTGCCCTGCCCGGGCTGTCCAGGGCGTCCTCCACGACCCCGCATCTCCCCCTGGGCCGGCACCCTGAGCTCCCCGGAGCCCCCCCCCCCACCGCATACCCACAGCTGCCCCTGGGCCCGGCCCGCGACCCCTCATCCCTGTCCCTGTCTTCCTGCATCACTGACGTGTCTCCGTCCCCCCGCCCCGAGCCCAGGGCCGCGTCTCAGCGCGCTCGGTGGCCCCACAGCTGCGAACCGGTCCCTCAGAACCGGCTTCCTGCAGCCGTTCAGCGACCCCGCGCAGCCGTTAAACATCCCCTTGCGGCCGCTCCCTATCCCCTCCGAGCCCCCCCCCGCCCCCCGGAGCCGCTCTCCATCCGCTCACCTTGAGCAGGTCCAGCGGGTGCGTGCAGCAGGCGGCGCCGCACGACGCGAGGCCGCCGAAGTACCAGCGCGATACGCGCCGCTCCGCCATCGGCGCCTCTCCGCGGGGAACACACGCCCCCAGCCGAGGCCACGCCCCCTCAGCAACATGGCCACGCCCCCAAGCAAACCACGCCCCCTTCGGGGGCAACGCCACACCGCCCACCTGCAGCACCGGGGGTGGAGAACCGGGACGATGATGCCTGGGACTGGGAAGGGAGGGAGCCCAGCAGTGGGGCTGCCATAAGGAGCCTGGGGTTGTGGCGGAGGCTCCTCTGCCTCACAGTCCCGGGCCCCAGAGCCACGTTTCCCACCCACCACCTGGTTAACAGGGAGGGATGAACCATTTCTGAAGGGTTTTCGGCTATTTATGAAGTAGAGTTCATCGCAGTGCCGGGACCAGATGGCAGCCCCACCAAACCGTAGAGCATTCTTGCACAGGGCCCCTTCCAGAGAGCATCCCCACTGCACTCAGAAGCACCCGGACCCTGGTGCCGGGGATGGTGGCAGTGGGGGTGGCTGCCATCGCACCAGTCCCTCCGTGGTGAGACAGGGATGTCTACTCCAGAACCACAGTCCCTCCTGCTGCCTCCAGTGCTGCTTTGATCTTCTCCGCTTCCTCCTTGGAGACGTTGGCCTTGATCTCCTGCGGAAGGGACTCCACCAGCTTCTTTGCCTGTGGGAGGGAGAGAAGTGTGAGATTGGAAACTGGTTTTCACTAATTGGCTTAAGAGATTCAGAGCCATGAGACTGACCTCAGCATAAACCCAAGGTCCAATGCCCAAGACTTTCACTTGAGCTATAGCACATCAAACCAGGGGCTGTTTAAATCTGACTGCAAGTGATGGCGCATCCCCTTCAGCTCTGGAAGACCTTTATCAGTGAGTAACTGCTCTTCAATTCCTCCCACTGCATGCTCAGTGCCCCTGACATGCAGCCCTGGTGCCTGGGCTGCACCACAAGGGAGCTCCTGGCCTTTCCAAGTGTGACTGTTTTGGTTCACATGTTTCTGCCAGCAGGGAGGAGGCTGCAGGGTTCAGCTGTGCCAGAACACACTGTACTGGGTAAAAGAACTCCAGTACCGACAACACAATCTTCCCATTTGTGGGACTTTTTACTCAAACCACTGGTACGCTGCAGTTCTTCAGTGGTTAAGACATGCTGAAAAGCTGCTGAGCTCATTTAAAGGGAGTTCCTGCAGGGCTGCTGTGAAGAAAGGACAGGAACCCAGACAATAACCCCTGGTGCAGTCGGATGCTCTTCCTCTCACCCCAAGCAGCACAACAAAAGCTCCTCAGGTCCTTAAAACAGAGCTCACAAGGTTCCTGTGGCACAGGGCTGCTGCAACACCTCTGCCATGTGGCTCTGCAGGTACTGAGCACCAACAGCCTGACTCCTACCAGCAGAAAGAAGGGTTTGTGGCTTTGATTCCAGCTGGGGGCAGTGATGATGAACCCACGGTGGCAGAAAAAGGTGGTTTTGCTAGGGATGAGGAGGGGTTGTGGCATAGGCAGAGCTTGGCAGAACAGAATCCGGACAGGAGCCCATTGTGGCTGGCTGGGATGAGGACAGGGGAACAGCCAAGGCTATCTCCAGTTAAAACCCTTCTCGCCAATGCCTAACCACTGCTCTAAAGCAGCCCTGGTCAGAGCGGCTGTTCCTGGTGCCCTGCAGCAGGCCCCAAGCTGGTCTTGGACAGATCAGCTGTTCCAGCCCCAGCCAGAGTACAAGAAGACAGGAGGTGAGTGTGTGCCTATGCAGCTGCCTCAGAACGCCTTTCCTGAGTGCAGACTAGAGCCCAGCTTGTGCTGACAACACCCCCATCTCATCGAGTTGTTCCTGGGGGAACTGACCTGAGCCCATCGGTGCCCAACACCAGAGGTTCTCCCAGCAATTCTGGCTTCCAAGTCATGGAGAGCCCTACAGGCAGGGAGGGATCCCTGCAAGGCTCGTTAGAACACCCCAACCAGATGAAAGCAAAACTGACAGTAAAGCTGCACCAGCCACGCTCTGAACACAATCTCACAAGCAGCAGTGATGGTTTTGAGTCTGGGTGTGCTTGAACCAAAGCACCAGCTCGGATAGGTCACACCTGGCAAAGTCTGCCAGCAATAACCTGCATCTACCAACCTCGGACCTGCACGGGAGCTGAAACTGGCTTGTTTGGCAGGTTCCATGCACGAAGACAAGTTGTTCAGCTTGAGTTCTCCAGGGAGCTGCTAATTACCCACTGGTTGTGTCCATTACTGGGTCTGGTGTTTTAACGTTCACATGAGACCCATCAGCTGGACCAGCCAAGCTGACAGTCACTCAAGCCAGCAGCCAGTGACACTCATGGCTCTGCCACTGGAGTTCCTGTTACTGAACTGTTTGCTTTGGGGCTGATCAACATGAACAGGTCAGAAGATTTTCTAGAAATCCTCTCAACTCCTGGGCTACCAGTAAGAGCAGCCTCTCCTCCCTGCCACCATGTGAACAGAAATGGCTACTGTTAACTCCAAGGCATGAAAGCATCACCTGTAGAGGTCTGAAGCACATCAAATGCTTCCCCAGTAACAGTTCTATCCCATTCTTTCTTCCCAGCCTATGTTGTGGCTCAAGGGCACGAGCTCAGGCCCTCACAGGACTGTGAAAAGCCCATCTCCTCCCAGGAAAAAGGAGGAGGCACTACGTATGAAAAGAGCAGCTCTGGAAAGGGCCAGAAATATGGGCTGCAAGATGTGTGAACTGGAGAAACTGGACTAAATTCAGAAATATGACGGCCTTGACCAAGCAGGGAGAGTCCCAGCAAACCCAGTGAGCTGGGACCCCGGCTGCTCCCAGCTCTGCAGGACAGCTCACAGTAGCTCTTGGATTTGAGGCTGGCACAGAGGAATTTGAGGTGTTTGCTCTGAGCCTCCTTCTTCACCCCCTTGCTCCTGCCAGGGCCTCTGCTGTTGGCCACGCAGCAGAGGCGGGGGGAAGACCCTTCCCTAAATATGCCAGATGCATGGATGCAACCAACTCCTGCTCCAACCTCGTCTGCTCCCCTGCACCGGGACTGTTCTCCCAGGCCCGGGGCACCGCAGCCCCCTCCTCACCTGCACAAGGTTCACTCCTGGCACGAAGTTCTTCACCTCCTTGATCAGCTTCACCTTGTCGGTCGCCTTCAGCTCCGTCAGCCGCACGGTGAAATGGGTCTTCGCCTTCTTCAGCGGCACCTCCTCCTCCTCCTGCTGGAGCCACGGGCGGGCGGTGAGCAGAGGAGGGGGAAGCCCAGGAGTGGGGCCCGGGCCCCCAGCCCACCGTCCCCTCCACATGGGGACCCGCGGGGCCCAACTCCCGTCCCCTCCCCAGAGAGCCCGGTACCTGAGGAGCCGTCTGGGAGGGCAGGAGGGTGGCAGCCGCCGCGGGCATCACGCCCACGTCCGGGATCTTCAGCGTCTCCTGCGGGAAGAGTGGCCGGTGAGGCGCAAGCGGGCAGGGCCGGGCCGGGCCGGGCCGAGCCGAGCCGAGCCGGGCCGGGCCGGGCCATCCTCGCCACCTACCTTCAGCAGCGCGTTGAGGTCGGCCACCTCGAGCAGCGTCAGCCCCGCGATGTCCCGCACGAGCTGCTGCACCTTGGGCGAGTACTGCTTGGCGGCCGTGTCCAGCGGCGCCCCGGCCAGCGCCTCGGAGCGCCGCGCGCGGCCCGTGCCCAGAGCCCGCGGCCCGGTGCAGCGCCAGGCGGGCGGCGGGCGGCGGGGCAGGCGCGGCAGCAGCGCGCGGGCGGCGGGCAGCATGGCGGCCGCAGAGGACACGGCGGCGCTCTGCCCCGCTCTCGATGGTTCCGGCGGCCCCCGCGCCGCCGCTCGGTGGTGGGGCGGGGCGGACGCTCTAGCCGCCGGGTCCGCCAGCACTCGTTCGCCCCTGTCGCCGCCCCGCCCGTCGCAGCACACCGGGCGCGGATCGTTCCCAACTCTTTATTAGCGCCGGTCGCGCTCGGTCTCCCCCACGGGGACGGGGTCGGGGTCCCGGGGACGGGGGGGAACGGGGGGGGGTGATGGGGAACGGGGCTCGGCGGGACGGCGCGAGGCTGCTCCTCGGGCACCAGGCACGGTCCCGGGGCCGCGCTCCTGCTGCTGGGTCCCGCGGAGTCCCGTCCCCGGGGCCGGGAGGGCAGGACGAGGAGCGGGAGAAGGGACGCGGTTCCGGAGGTCGAGCAGTGTCTCAGGCGGCGCCTCGCCGAGGTCAGTCGAAGGAGATGAGCTGAGCCTCGCCGCTGCCCTGCGGCGGCTGCGCCGGGGCGGGCGGGGGCTGCTGCGGAGGCTGCTGCTGCGGGGTCCCTCCCGCAGGTGCCATCTGCAAGAGGCGAGAGGCCTCCGTTAGAGGCGGCCCCGGCATCACGCGCCCCCCGCACCCGGCGCCCGCACTCACCTGCTGGTAGAGGGGCTGCTGCCCGGGCAGGTAGGACTGCTGAGCTGGCAGAGAGCTCAGTGCTGCTTCCTGGCCCGGCAGGGCAGACATGAGACCCTGAGAGAGCGAGGGGCGGCTGTCAGAGGGGCTGAGGGACACGCAGTGGGGCAGAGGCCAAAGACCCCCATCTCCACCTGGCCAACAGCAGCACAGGCCCAGGACTGTCCCATGCACTAGAGCCCACCCTGCAGCCAAGCAGCAGCCAGTGGGACAAGGGGTGCTCACCTGCATGCTGTAGGGCTGGTAGCCCATGGAGACTGACTGGGTGCCCATGTAGCCCATGGCACCTGACTGGGGGGCTTGAGAGATGGCCGGGATGCTCTGTGACTGTGAGGCTGCACTCTGGGGAGGAGAGGCTGGTGAGAAGCGGTACCAGCTCGACTCAAACCATCACCCCAGGAGCAGCAGCACTCCCCAAGCTCCACTGGAGACAGTGCAGCATCTTCTGTCTGTGCCATGGGGAGCCCAAACCAGCCCTGACTCCAACCCACTCCCACTGTGAGTTGAAGCAGATCCAGAGATGGGACCAACCAGCCCATCCTCCCTGCTGGCAATCCCATTGCCAGATCCCCGAGCCATGCAGAAAGCCCCAGCCCCTACTTGCCTGGTAGCCCTGGGTTGAGGTCGGCTGGTAGGAAGAGTATGCAGGGGTGGTGGTGGGCACCGCGGGGCCCTGCTGCACCGCCTGCCCACTCCCTGCCCCTGCCTGGTACATGTAGGCATTCACCATGCTGGGATCTGGGGCAGAGAGGCAGAGACTGAAGCTACCACCTTGCCCGCAGCCTCCACCCCAGTGGGCTCAGCTGGGCATGTACCTGTCCCTGCGACGGGCATGGCTGTGTACGGCCCAGTGGTCCCCTGCGCTGCCTGGTTCATGTACACGCCATGCATGGGAGAGCCTTCCACTGAGCTGGCTGGGCTGAAGGTGCCAGGGAAGCTGCTGGGCCCAGAGGGCTGGTAAAGCACCCCACCGGCTGCGGGCATGGCCTGGAGCTGTTGAGGGAAGAAAAGCAGCTCTAGGCCATGTCCCCTGGGACTGGGCAGGAGGGTCTCTGGCCCTGCAGACGTACTTGGGCATAAGGCAGGGAGAAGGCTGGCATTTGGGCTCGCATCTGGATGGTCTGCTTCTGCTGTTCCAGGCGCATCTGCCTCTCTTTCTCCTGCTCCTGCAGTCGCTGGATGGCCAACTGACGCTGCATCTCCAGGTACTCCTGTGGGAACAGGGCTGTGACAGCCACAAGCCAGGATGCTGCAGCATCCCGCCCTGCCAGGGCAACCCTGGGGCAGAGCAGCCAGCAGGCCTGAGGGCTGATGTGCCCCACATACCCTGGAAACGCTTCCCTGCCTCACCTGCTTCTTCTGCCTCATGATCTCCAGTTTCTGGGCCAGCTGGATCTGGCGCTGGCGCTCTGCCTCCTCTGCTGCACGGCGCAGCTTCTCCTGGTGCTCCTCCCGCAGTGCATTCAGGGCTCCGCGCGCATCCCGGATCTGGGCCAGTTTGTCTTGCAGGCCCTCGTAGTACACTGGGGAGGGAAGAGACACCTCAGCGACCCGCCTGGGGCAGAGCACTACAACCTTGTGCACCACACTGCCCGCTCTCCGGAGAGACTGCATCCCAGCAATGCCAACCCCGGTGCTGGGGAAAGCCCCGGCAGCCACCCCAAGACACAGTCCCATGGCCACAGCCACACAGCTCCCACATACGCCTGCGCTCATCCAGCTGGTTGAGCAGCTCCAGCAGCTGGGGGTGCATGTTGTTGATGGACTGGAAGAGGGACAGGACGGCAGAGTCGTTGGTGATGCTGCGGCCCCGCATGTGGTTGCTCTTCATGCGGTTGACAAACGTGGTGACTGCGTTCTGCAGTGCCTTCAGGAACTGCTCGTGGTTCTCCTCAGACTCGCCATTCTGGTACTGCTGCTGGAAGGACAGGGCAGCCCCTCAGCTCTCCAGTGCCAAGTCAACTGCAGGCCTGCAGTGCTCTGGGGCCAGGCTGCACCAAGGAGCTGGGTGCTCCTTGCCCCTCAGAAGCTGCCTGGCAAAGGTCCAGGCCCCCTCTTACCTCCACAACACTGAGCGGTGCAGGGTGGGCCTCCCCGGGCTGGGCAGCTGGCTCTGCAAGGGACAGGGGTGCTGATGGCGTGGGGCTCTTGCGAACCTCCTCTTGCTTCTTCTCCCAGTAGTTGCGGTTCAGGTACCGAGCCAGCTGCCAGGGAGAGAAGGAAGATCAGCATCATGCTCCACAGGGAGCAAGCATGTGCCATGGAGCAGCAGTGCCTGGCTCCTTACCTCTGGGTCAACGTCCTCAGCCAAGGGAGCAGAGGAATTCTGTAAAGAGACAAACAGGGAAATGTGATTCAGAGAAACAGGAGACTTTCAGCTCCCACAAAATATCCTGCTCGAACCTGGCCATGGACAACCCAGTGCTGAGCATCAGCAAGAGTGTGGAAGGGAACAGCCACCTCCTCCCGAGTACAGACCTTGCTGACAACACAGCAGTGCTGTTACAGAGCAAGGGGCTGAATAGGGCAAATCTCTCAGAGCAGGAATTCAGCCTGACACAACCAGGGCAGACTCTGGGCAAGGACAAGGCCTGTGTCCACCTGAATCACGTTCGGGGCCCCCACGAACGTACCACGGGCGGGGAGTAGAGCGTGCTGACCGGGGGAGCTGAGGATGTGACGGGAGTGGGCTCAGCCTTTGGGTACATGGAGTAGGTTGTTTTCTGCCTCTGCAAAACAGGAAGAACAGTTGGCTTGGGGCCTGCCCAGGCTCTGGTCAGCAGCAGACTGGGCACACCAGGTGGGCGAGTTCCTGGTGATGGCCAGGCGTGGCAGACCCAGCCTCATGTTCCGCACAGTTCCCACAGGACAGCGTGTCCCTGGGCTCCCAGCCTGGGCACAGCCTGCTTCCAGGATTTGGGACTGCAGTGCAGCACAGGCCTTGCTCCACTGTCACCCCCTCATTCCACAGGCCCTGTGACTTGCTCTGTGTCTTGTGACACCAGGACATGCCCAGGATCTGTCACGGCACAGCTGGGAGATGCCCAGCACATCACCCCCAGCAGGGCACAAACCATTCTCTCCTTCTCCTCCGCCTCTGACTGAGACAAGGCAATTGCGAGCTGCAGCTCCTCCTCCTCTTGCAGCGCTGTCTCATCACGCTTTGGAGGCAGCTGCGAGCAGAAGGAAGAGGTGGTCAGTAAACGGACACCAAATAGGTCAGGATCACTACAGCACCTATAGGCAGCCACTCACCTGGGACTGCTGAGAGAGGGGACTGGTCAGGTATTCGGGGGGCAGCTCGGAGGTGGCAGCAGCTTTACCCTCAGCTTTCCTGTAGTCAGAAAGACATGACAGTGCAGGCTGAATGCTCCTTCCTCCGCACCAGAGCCCCAGCACTGCACAGCACTGCAGCTGAAAACCCCATTCCCAAGAGGATGGGAACCCAGCCCAGTGTGGGGAACCCTCACTCTGCTCTGCTCAAAGCTCCTCCCTCACAGTCCCAGCTGCTGCAGGCAAAGAAACACACCACAAAGGTACTGACTTGTTGAGATGCTCGTAGCAGGGCTCACAGACTCTCACTTCCTTCTCAATCCCAAACTTTGGGATGGTGGAATACTTGGAAGAGCACTTCCCACAGAAGATCTGCCCACAGGCCCTGCAATGATGCTGCAAAGGATGGGAGACATCAGTGTGGCAGCAACACGCTCCTTCACCATCAGACACCACCGCTCAGGCACTCCTGGCACTTCCCCGCCAGCAGCCAGGGAGCACTGCCCAGCCCCAGCACTTCCCGGCAGGCTCAAGGAGTCCTGCAAGTCCCTGGGGACTGCGCAGGACCAGGGAACCCAGAGGGGCAGGAGCAGCACCCACCTTCCGCGTCACAACCCCAAACTGCACTCGACATCGGTGGCACTCCTCAGCATCCACCCAGTCTGGAGCCTGTCCGGGGTAAGGAGAATTGGGTCAAGGAAGGCGAGAGCCTCAAGGAGATCGCCTCCTCAGAGCTCCTCAGGAGCTAACTAAGGTGCTCTCATGAACAGGGATACTAGAAGCATTTGCAGCTCAACAGGAATTACTGATCCCCACATTATCCCCTCTCATGTTCCTAAAGACTGGGATGCTTTGGGCAGCAGTGATGCTGGGAGCCACCAAGCAGGGCAAGATGAAACCAGCTCCCTGTCCTGCTCACTCTCCCCTCCATGCGGTAGCTCTGTACAGGAGCCCAGAACTGCCAGCATGGCACTGGGAGCATTGTGCCCCCACCCTGGGCTCTAATCTGCACAGAACGGAAGAGTGCAGGAGCTGAAGGTTCAGTAGAAGGGGACAGGACAGTGAGGTCTGTCCCACAGCACCAACTCCCTCCCCAGCAGCATAACTCACCCGTTCTGCCGCGAACATGGCATCGCTCTCCTTGAACTCCGGGAATACATGGCCTGGGGGGAAGAGAGCAGGAGCATGGACCAGTCCTCGAAGCACTAAGGAAAGCCTGGGAAGATGGAACTGCAGAGCCCTCCCCAAAGGACACCCTGACTTCAGGCCAGTTTCCTGAAGCAGCACCTCACTGCCAACCCTTAGCTGCCAGCTGGGCTGATCCAGGGGCAATGGGGTTGTTCTCTCTTTGCAGTGGGATTCAGTCACCTCAAGAGGTTCATTTGGTATCAAGACACCAAGAAAAAGCTCAGTATTGAAAGTCCAGACTTTGCTAACACCAGACAGGGTCCTGACAGCCCTTCCCTCTCCTGCAAAGCTCCTCCAGAGCAGAGCTGCTTGGCCAGTTGTCCACCCACCTTTGCCCACAGAGTCCTCACCTTCAACCTTCATTATCTGATAGGTGTCCTGCACCACCTTGTACTTGGGCTCATTGCGGAAGGCATGAGCCCAGGCCTGGATAAGGTACAGGATCTTACTGCGGACACTGGTCTCCACTTGCCTCTGCACAGAAAGGGAAGAGAAAACAAATCCGAGAAAAAGGCCCTGAAACCTGAAGGCTGGTGTGAATCTGCTGGAAGCCAGAAATACCAGTCAAGTATTTCAGAAAGACTTTAGAGCACTTGTGCAAGGTGAGAGCTGTCAGAAAGCCACAGGAAGGACAATTCACAGCAAGGGCTGCCTGCTCCTTCAGCCCAAATATGAACACATCCTTCGGAGCAGCGTGGCCCAACCTGACAATGGGTTAGGATGCTTTTAGAAAACACCCACAGAGCCTGGTGTGAGCGCTGCCCTGCCCAGCTCCTCTCACCTCCCACAGGAGCTGCTTGTCCTGCACTCAGAACATTGGGTCACCTACAGTCACGGGGCTGGGCAGAGCAGCAGCAAGCGCCTCAACCAGCACTGCTGAGGCTTCGGGAACTGGCACTGCAGGGTGCTGGTGCTGGGCTGTCAGCGCCTCCAGCCCCAGTGCTCCTGCCCAGGAGCACCCGAAGCTGCCCAAGGTAGGATCAGCAGGGCAGGTGCCCTTTGGAGGCAGGGGCTGTGTCACAGTTCAACTTGGCAAGCCTGTTCCTGCCCCAGCCTCGAGAGCAGCCTGTCATCAGCTGCCTGAGTGACCACAAGTCCACATGACCGGCTGCTCCAGAGGCAGAGGAGCACTGTCCAACTCCGATTTCAGCTCAGCTCGGCCCACACAGTGTGACTTACTGACCATTCCAAAAATCCTGCATTCCACACGTGTCACAGCCCTCAGCCTCCTCAGAGCTGAGACCATTTTACCAGCACTGGGCATTCACAAGCAGCAGAGCATAGAACGGGTCTGCAGCAGTTATGGAACTACAGAGGCAGAGGAGGACTGGAGAGAACCACAGAACCTCTTGATCTGATCTCCTCAGCAGGAGTGGCTGTGCTATTACCCCTGGCCATGACATTCCTGGCTCAGCAGATCCTGCACAAAGACTGAGCCAGCCCTAGCAGCAAGGTGACAGGAGACACCCTGGTACCGTGTGCGAGGTGATGGGACCTGCACAGCTCATTCACCAATTATGTGGGTCATCCGGTCACCTGTTTCTGATGAAGACAGAGGCTGTAAGGAAGGAAAAGCTACGCTTTGCCTGGGCGTTGCACTCTGGGCGGGGAGCCAGAGACAGGAGTTCCCAGTTCCACTTCACCTGTGGAAGTCCACTCCAGGGACACAGAGAGCCCCTGCAGGTATGACATTATATCAAACTGGCAAGTGACGGCTTGTGCCAACAGCCCGTCAGTGAAAACAGCCAGGTTTACATCCTGCAAAACTCCTCAAATGATTCCACAGGCCAATGGAACAGCCCCAGTAAAGAGGAAGCTTTTGGCAGTTCTCCCCTTGCTCTTTACCCTCCTGTGTGCCTCACGCTGTACTGTGAAGGGAACCCCTCAGACCTCGATGAACCGCCAGAACATCCCCTGGTTCCCTTTGCTGCCTCCTGCCAAGCAAAGCATTGCACCTACCATGAAAGGGTCAAGGCCTTTGCTCCTCACATCTCACATTACAGCCAAACATCACCTCTGCTCTCAAAACATCATGTCTCCTGAGCTCTCTACACACCACACCACGGTTTGCCCTTTTCTCAACTGCATTTCCAGACAGTTTCCTTTCTGTTCCTTACACAAAGGGAACAGAAGTGAGGACACACACAGAACTCCTGCTTTTCCAACCTCATTCCAAAATGACAGTAAACCAAGCTGTATTTACCTTGAGTATTTCCTTCAGTTCCTCCATAGTCTGTTTATTGGCCACCTCATCATGGACCGTTTGGCCACAGTTTTTAACCACTGACTCCATGACCTGCAGGGGCAGAGGACAGCATTAGCCTAACACATTCCTCCCTCTCTGCAGCCTGTGAGGAACCCCAGCACACAGAGACACAGCACTATGTGAGCAATGGGTTGCACTGGGGCAGCATCAGTAAAGCCACGCTGGAGCCTGAGCTCCCCTTCTCCTTCCCAGGGGTCTCTGCACAGCTGCTGTGTACAGACCCCAGGGAGGGAGTCTTAAATCCCACTTTGCCTGTTCCTAAAGCTGAGATGGGATTAAAGATGGAAATTCTCATGCTGATCAGTCACAGAACTCCTGTGCTAGAGCTGGGAGGAGGCTCCAAGCTGTGACCAGATGCTGCATGCAGCCTGTGCAGTACAGAAGGCTTGGTAAAACTGGGATGTTCCCTGGCCAGCACCATGGTTTGGGCTGACGTTACCTCCAGCGCGTAGAGAGCCACGTGGGGATTCTTGTCATTGACTTTCTTCTTGATCGCGTTGACAGCATATTTTGCTCTGGGTAAGGAGAGAGAGAACATGGTCTTAGAGAGTGAGGAATCCAAGGGGAGATTCCACTTGCAGGTGGTAACCTGCCACCCCCCCAAACAACAGAGTCTACAGGCTCAGAATCACAGAATGGTTAGGGATGCAAGAGACCTTAACATCACCCAGTTCCAACCCAGTTCCCCGAGGGCAAACTGGGAGAAGGAAAAAGCACGCTCAAACCCGAGTGCCTCTGAGGGTTTCAGGCCAGAGATGACCTGGGCCCCCCGAGGCCGGGGGGATGGCAGCCCCTCAGGGTGGGTGTGCTGTGCTGCGAGCAACGGGGCAGCGCTGCCGCAGGCAGGCAGAAGCCGCGCTCCCGGTGCGGCCGAAGCCCGGGAGCACTTACTGGGTGTCTCCCTGCCGGATCATGTCGCAGATCTGCAGGATGGATTCCCAGTCCGTCTCCAGCAGGAGCTGGCTCGTTGCCTTATCTGCAGGGAACAAACCCACGGGGCAGCTCCAGCCGCTCTGCTCCCCCCGGCCCCGCTCTGCGCACCACCCCCTTCCCCGCCGGCGGTGCTCGGGGGCCAGGAACGACCGGGTTGTCCTGGACCGCGCCGGCGCTTCCCCTCCAGACCCCGGGAACCCCGGACCCGCCCGGTGCCGAGCACCAACCCCGGGGGCCCACCCCAGCTCCCTGGGCCCGGCCAAGACGCGCGCCCCTCGCTGCGCCCGGGGAGGCCGTGCCCAGTACCGAGGAGCCGCTCGAAGGTGCCACCACCGCGCCCCATCGCGTCCCCCGGCCCGGCCCGGCCCAGGCCAGCTCCGTTCCACCGCCCCTCCGCGGCGCTTCCGCTTCCGGCTTCCGGGGGGCGGGGCTCCTTCCGGGGGCGGGGCTTCTTCCGGGGGCGGGGCCCCGCGTCGGATGGCGGGCGCGGGGCGAGCGGTGCCCACTTGCCTGGTGCTGGGGGTGGCCGGCGGCGGGAAGAGCCTGCTGGCGCGGCGGCTGCGTCATATCCGGCGGGGCGGACACCGGGGGGGGGGGCACCGGGGAGGGGCACGGGGATGGCCCCGGGGGGCGGGGATCCCGTCCCGTCCGCTTCCCTTCCCGTCCCCTTCCCTTCCCTTCCCCTTCCCTTCCCTTCCCGTCCCCTTCCCGTCCCCTTCCCTTCCCCTTCCCTTCCCCTTCCCTTCCCCTTCCCTTCCCGTCCCCTTCCCTTCCCCGGGACCGATCCTTAACCCGCGGCACAGCTGAGCGCCGAGGAGGGGCCCGCGGAGCTGGGCGAGCCCCCGGCCACGCTGCCCACGGTAGGCAGGGCCCGGAGGGGCGGGAGCCCGGTGCGTCCGCGGGGCCCCGGTGCACGCAGCCCAGCCGCCTGTCCCCGCAGGTGGGCACCAACCTGACCGACCTGCGGCTGCCGCGGACCGTGACGCTGCGGGAGCTGGGCGGCTGCATGGGCCCCATCTGGCAGAGCTACTACGGCGAGTGCAGCGCTCTGCTGGTGAGCGGCAGCCGAGCGTGTCCTGAGCCCGTCCTCGAGTGAGGGACTGGGCTGGGGGCGCAGGGCAGGGGGAGCCCCGGCCCCTGCAGCACACCCGCAGCAGCACCTTCCCGTGTCTCCTCCAGTTTGTGGTCGATGCCGCCGACCCGACCCAGGTCTCTTCGTCCTGCGTGCAGCTCCTGGCCGTGCTCTCCGCAGCGCCGCTCGCCGCCGTGCCCGTGCTCATCCTCTTCAACAAGATGTGAGGAGGGGGCACCCGGAGGGTGGGGGCAGAGGGCACTGAGGGGCTGCCATGGCTCCTGCGTCCCTCCCGTCGGGTGGTGGACATGTAAGGAAGCCTGGTGTGTCCTGGGGGGTGGCAGCAGCCCTTTGCTGTACTGCCCAGGCTGGCTTGGGCTGTGGAGACCCCCGAGCCAGGGGCTGGGCTGGCAGGAGAGCCGGCATTGTGGGCTGATGCAGACCGTCCTGCCGGTGCAGTGACCTGCCCTGCTCCATGTCCGTGGCGGAGATGAAGTCGCTGTTCCGCATGCAGGACATCGTGTCCTGCGCCACACAGCCCATCACGATTCTGGAGACCAGTGCCCGTGACGGCACCGGCCTGGCCGAGGTCCTGCAGTGGCTTCGGGCCACCCTCGGAGACCCGCGGTGACACTGGCCCTGCCCATTGCCTGCACAGACGCTGCCGGGAGCGGTGCTGCAGGCTGGACGTGGGCAGGACCCCGCGGGACTTCACAGTAAAGCTTGCACTGTATTGACCAGGCTGGCGCCTGCCCTGTACTCAGTGCAAATCCCTCCTCGGGAAGGGACCAGCAGGAGACGGGCTGTGCAGCCATGGGGCTGTGCTGGCACCTGCGGGATGGGGGAGGTTGTGGGCAGCAGAACTGGAGGCTGTGGAGGTGCCTGGACCAGGCTGGGCAGGGCAAGGGCTGGTGGCACCTCCCAGGTTGGAGGCTGAGGGCATGTGAGGCTCTGGCAGCAGCTTTGGTTTTGCCATACAGGGCACAGTGGGGTGACCTGGGTGGGTGTCAGGAGCTGGGGCTACCTCAGCTGGGGACATCCCATGAGCTGCAGGGAGTAGCAGCCTGTGACTGCTCTCTGGCACTTGGGATCAGACAACAGCTGGGTCAGTGCAGAGAACCCAGCCTATGCCCGCAGGAATAACCTGTGCCTGACAACTGCTTCGTGTCCGTGCTGACAGTCCCGTGCCCAGCACGAGTGCTGGATCATGGGGGTGGTTGTGGCCACCTGGGCCTGGCACATGCTGTGGCACAACCCTCCTGGGTCTGTTGGTGTCATGCCACAGGGGCAACCAGCTTGCCAGGGCTGCGGTGGGACACAGCTCTCAATGCTGGGGGCTGCAGGGACCACACTGATGGTGAATGGTTCCTGGCACCACACACAATGGGGCGGCTGCTGCTGCGGTCCTTTCCCTGGAGCATGGGCACAACCTGATGGGCAGGAGACGCTGAGGAGCCTGAGCAGATCCAGCCCCTGAGTCACCAGTGCTGGGGCACACCAACACCCCAAAACCGCCCGCTCCCAGCCCACCAGGTCCAGACACGGGCCGGGAGTCCTGCACACGGCTGTGTTTAATGGGCAGCTCAGTCTGAAGTGGGGGACCAGAGCCCCCGGTTCCTCTGCCCAGCCCTCAGCACCACGGTGGGTTGCTGAGCCTGTCGTGTGGGCAGGCGCAGGATGACTGCCTGGGGGGGACACAGGCAGCCTTGTGCACGGGGAAGGTATGGTGCAGCTCCTCTCCTCCTGCTGGGACATGGGGCTGGAGGTGCGCTGGGGCTGTTCTGGGCAGTGCAATGGGGCTGCAGGTTCTGTCCAGCCAGTGTCACTGTCCCCAAAGGCTTCTCAAAACAGCCCAAAACTGTCCTGGGGCACTCACGGGAGGGAGCATTATTCTCTGCTGACAGTAACCACTCATGGAGACAGCCCCAGCCCAGGTAGCTCTGTGCTCTACGGTCCTGCTGCATCCCCAGCAGCTCCGGGCAGTGGGAGCACCCACGTCCCTGTGCTCCAATAGGTCCTTAACCACGGCAACCCAGAGGAGAGGATGCTCCACAGCACTCCCTGGTCCTGCTGATGGCTTGGAAAGATGGAGAGATCCATTCCCTGACTGCGAGCAGAGTCCTGTCCCGTCCTGCTCCTTCCTGGGCATCTGACACTAAGAGGACAGATACAGACCCTGAGACACTGAGTGTCTGCTGCCCCATTCTGCCCCACTCTAAATGTCCCCAGCCACGTCCTGTTCCCTGCCCCAGTCCTATCCCAATCCTGATCCTGGCTCTGCTGTCAGCCGGAGCCATTCTCAGGCAGCAGCAGCACCATGGATCCAGCATCTCCTGGGACACACTGGGTACCAGAGCAGCCTGGGCACCTCCCCAGCAGGATCAGCCCTACATCCCTGGCTGCCTGTGCCAGCAGAGCGAGTGGACATGGAATGCTGGGCTCAGCCCAGCACCTCCTGCACCTTCCTGCTCCCCAGCAAGCAGTGGGGCTGGCCCTGGCCATGCTGCTCCCACCATTCCAGCACAGCAGAGGAATGCCCACGTGCCCAGCTGAGAGCCCTGGCAGTCCCTGTCCTGCTCGTGCAGGGCTCACCCGGGGCTCAGGCGCGTCTCCCCCTCTGCTCGTACACAGAGTGAAGCTTCTGAATGAGAAATACTTTGTCTTCCCCTTCCTGCAATGAGAGACATCGCAGTGAGCAGCCGCGGGACGTGCTCTGGGATGTGTGAGGTGGCATCGGGCAAGAGCCCGAACGCGGCCACGCCGGGGCTGCAACAGCCGGGCCAGGCTCACGCACGTTGGCGATCTGCTCCTTCAGCAGGCGGATGATCCTGCGCTGCCCTCTCAGGACCTGGATGTTGAAGTAGGTCCCGGCTCTGCAACGACAGGGAGGTGGGGTGGCAGCATCGGGGACACCGCACCCTGGAGTGAGTGTGGCTCCAGCCCTGCTTGGGGCTGGGACAGGGCACCCCAAAGCACATCCCTGGGGGCAGCCTCGGGTCCATACTCACAGCAGGACCCCGGAGATGAAGAATGGGAGGAATGGGTTTTCCACCAGGTGCTGGTGGGCCCAGGTGAACCAGGTGATGTTGGGGTTGGACTTCTCCAGCACTTGCCCCCAGGCCTGCCAGGACTTGTAGATGGTTTCCAGCCCCTGGAAGGGGCCACAGGTTTCTGACGGCTGCACCCTGAGCACACAGAGCAATGGGGCCGCTCAGAGCTATGGGCAGCCCATGGCCCAGGGCACTGCCCAGCCTCAGAGATCCAACCCTCCAGGGACCAGCCTGCCCAACCATCCCCCTTGTCCTGCATCAGGAACAGACGGGAGCAGTGGTCACAGTCCAACAGCAGCTGTGCTGTGTGCAGTGACCAGCAGCTGGGCAGCATCTCCCTGCCCAGGGCAGCGATGTGCAGCCCTGTGCCAGGCTGATGTGCTCCATGTGCCATGAGGGCTGGAGGCACCATCTCCTTCAGCGGGCAGCAGCAGTTCTATGCCCAAGCCATGGTCCGGCACATACTCACGACCAGATGGTGTACAAGAGGAAGATGGCTGCACCCAGGAAAGATGGGAAGCAGAGCAGGGTGATGAACACGGTGCTCATGTGAGACGCTTGCCAGGGCTTGCTAGGGGACTGGCAGTTGTGCACCAGGCTGGTCTGCAGGCAGGGAGCGCAGTCCCGGGCTCAGGGAAGCAGCCACAGGAACATGAGCAGGACAGATGCTGTCCCATCCACGCGCTCCACTGAGCAAGCCTGGAGACACCCTGTCCTTGCTCCCGAGGCTGCGCTGGTGGCTGCAGGGCAGCCCGTGGCACTGCACAGTCACGGGGAGGAGGCAGCTCTCACCTTTTTGATGTAGAACAGCAGCAGCAGCTTCAGGACCTGCACGGCCGGCAGGAGCGGTGCAAAGAGAACACCCATCCTGGGAGAGGGGGACCATGCACTGAGCCGGGTCGGAGCCCCAGGGAGGCAGCGGCGCAGCACCCACACCAGCTCTGGTCAGGCTTCCACGCAGCCAAGAGCTGGCACCTGCGCCCCTGCCTGCTTTGATTTGTTGCCCCCATCCCACCCGTGCGGGGCTGAGGGGTCCCCCATGACCCCACTGAGTTCCCAGTGCCCGGTCCCAGCCAGCCCCGGCGCTTGCAGGGCCCCCGGCGCATTGGACAGCAGAGGAAGGAGCTGTGCCAGGTGGGACGCGCCTCACCAGGTCAGGGTCTGGCCGTAGATCAGCTCCAGCACGTTCCGTGCGATGTCAAACTCGGGCTTCTGGTTCCTCTTCAGCCTCTTCTCCAAGACGAGCCTGGGCAGGGGCAGAGCTCTGCTCCCACGCTGCTGCTGGGGCTACGGCAGCGGAGCCGGGGGACACCTCCCGGGGCAGTTACCTCCACACCAGCTCCCCGAGGAGTGTGTCCAGCAGCGTGAATACAAAGTCCATCACCACAAAGCGATACAGGTCCTGCCCCACACACGTCTCCCAGCACTGGGGAAACAAACGGAGTGGCACAGACCCGTTGGCAGTGCACCCTGCCGGCTCACACTGAGCCTCTCATCACCCCAAGCCCTTCTCCTCAGGGCTGCTCTCAAACCATTCTCCACCCAGCCTGTATCTCTGCTTGGGATTGCCCCAGCACACATGCAGGACCCCGTGAGGCTCCTGCTGGCCCACGTCTGCACCATGTCAAGACAAGCTGGCAATGAGGCTTCTCTTCCTCGACCTTCCCATGGCTGTGAGGGGCTCTGGGACCTTTTCCTCCCTTGCACCCATTTAGCAGCCACCCCAGCTTTGGAGAGCCCCTGTCTGGCTGTCACCCCCCTCTCCCCTGCAAAGGAGCAGATGGTGCCTGCGGTGCAGAGCCCTGCTGCAGCCTTGGCTTTGCTTTGTGCTCCCTGGGCAAGGGATAGTCTTTATGCTCAGGATAGCTCCAGGGGGCTCACAGGGGCGCTGGGTGCCCCTTGCACTGACCCACACAGAGTCTGACATTTCACAGCAGCACTGACCTCCTCCATTGAGCAGACAACCCTCCGGCTGAGCCACTGGTAGCAGAGCAGACCAAGCAGGACCATCTTCAGAATGAGGTTCCTGGGGAGCAGGAGCAGGGCCAGGAGCCCCTGAGCCCTTGGGTTGGGAGGGGGCTGAGCCCCACGGACAGAGTGCCCGGCCCCAAAGCCTCCCCACACCGCAGGTGGGGCACAGGATGCTCCCGTCCACCCTACCTGCAGACGGCCACGTAGACCTGAGCCCCGGGGTAGTCCTGCCTCTCCCACGCTCCCAGCAGGTTGTACACATGGGGCATCACCGCGTTGAGCCCGGACACCACGAGCGGCAGGGCCAGCAGGAGGGTTTCCTGCTGCCGCTGCCCCCCGCCCCGTGCCCGGTGGTCCTGCTGGACCTGGCGAGCAGCACCTCGGTGAGGACATGGGGAACGACGCCGTGGGGCTGCCCCTGTCTCCAGGGCTCCCCTGTCTCCAGGGCTCCCCAGTACCCAGCCCAGTGCCAGGGCGAGGGGCAGCACTCACTACGTGCATGTGCTGCGAGAAGCGGTGCACAGCCACGGCGCAGCCCAGCACCGTGCTCAGCGACAGCAGCCAGGCCAGGAGCAGCACCGCGCCGCGGCCCAGGCGCTGCCACAGGCTCCGGGAGCAGGAGCGGGAGCGCTGCTCCGCCAGCAGCTCCTGTAGGGCAGAGCCAGAGCCAGTGCTGCCCAGCCTGCTCCGGGCTGCACCCAGGTGGGACCCAGAGTGCGCGGGACCAAGCCCAGTGCTCACCTTCAGCAGGGTGCAGATGTTCTCACACTGCAGCTTCACTGAGCGCCTCTGGACCACCTTGAAGTCCCAGGCACAGAACACTTTGACAGGCAGGTCCCGTGAGGAGCTGCCTACACGGTAGCTCTCCCCGAAGGAGCGGGACATGCTGCAGCGAGAGGGAGGTGTCAGAGCACCAGTGCTGGGTGAAGGCTGCGGTGCCCGAGGTGCTGCCAAACCCACCTGTACACCAGCAGGACACAGGTGATGAGGAAGGAGACCCCAACACTGGACATGTAGGCCAGGGGCATGTTGTATGGGAGCGGGGGTGCTGCGAGGGGGCATGTGCTGGGGCTGGAGGCGCAGGGGCTGTTGAGGGTGGTGTTGCTGTAGTAGCCGTAGTAGAGCAGCGAGTGAGTGAAGTAGCCCTGTGGAAAGGCACTATGGGGCCCACAGCTCCCCGCCCAGCCTGGCACATCTGGGCCAGCCCCTGGGGAGAGCTGGGTTGGGGCAGCACCAGGGCCCTCTTCTGCACCCTCAGCACTGATGGTCCCAGTGCCCTGGCTGTGCAAGAGGAGGGACTGGGGCATCACTGTGGTGGGGATGCAGGGATGCAGGAGAAGGACGGGGCACCGCTAGGGGTGGGGGGGATGCAGAGCTGAACCCAGGGCTGGGAGCAGCTCCTGGCCTGGGGATGCACTGGCCGTGGTGCAGCGCTTACCGCTCCTGTGAGGAGCTCAAAGCCAGTGAAGGGCTGGGGGTTGGCTGAGGCAGGGGGATACGCAGCCTGCAGGGCCACCACAAAGACCAGGAGGATGAGGAATGAGATGATGTTGAACATAAAGAGCGTCTTGAGGAAGAGGAAGTAGGAGAGGACACTGGAGCCGAAGCGGCCACCAATCTGCTTCAGTGCGTAGTGCCAGGGCTGCGCGGCGGGAAGCAGGGACAGGAGCCTGTACCAGAGCCTGCGGCAGCACTGCAGGGACAGCACAGGGAGAGAACTGGGGTCGGACCCTGCACCGGAGCCCCCGGTGCTGCTCTGCACACCCGTGTCCTGGACTTACGAGGATGATGTGGTCCTTGGACCCTCCGCAGGGAGACGGCTCCTGGTGCTGGGCACGGTGCCTCGGGGGCCCCCTCTGCCCGCTCAGCTCCTGCCTGCCCAGCAGAGAGGGGTGTTAGAGGGGGTGTGGGCCCCGGGACAGCTCTGGCTGTGGGAGCCCTGTGGGGCCAGTAGGAAAGGGCGTACCGGAGGGCGCGTTTCTCTGCCAGGCACAGGGGCACAGTCAGCAGCATGTGGCTGCGGTGGCTGGGCGAGAGGCTCAGCAGCTCATTCACCAGCAGGCTCCGCTTGTCTGGGGGCACAAGGAGCTGAGCAGGATGCAGCCACCAGGACGTGCCTGTCCCAGACCTGCTGTGGGGACAGTGCCTGGCGATGCTCACCCTGCAGTGTGGCCGTGGCGGGGTCGGTCTCCAGGTCGTACAGCCGCAGGCTGGGCCGCGCTGCACGGCAGAGCTGCTGCAGGGGCGGGCGGCTGCTCCGGCGCCGCAGCCGTGCCGTGCGGTTGTAGTACTGGGATATGATGGCCCCGCGGCTGCGTCCTGCAAACGACAGCGGGCACAGGGTGCGTAGCCACAGGACAGCAAGGGGACAGGATTGCTCCTGGGTCTGGGGCTGCCGGGTGGCACCTACCGATGGTGCGGCTGGGCATGCTGGCAAGGATCCGCAGGGAAGCAGAGGAGTACCCGGGGTGCTGCTCGCCCTGCCCGGGCTCTGGCCAGGCTGTGGCACCGGCGTCTGGGGTAACCTGACAGGCCAAAGGCTCTGGGAGAGGGAGGGGAGCACATAGAGCAGTGAGAGCCAGAGCACCTATGGCTCTAGTCCCTGTGGCTTTGCTGCCCTGCTCTGGCACTAAAGCCAGGCACCTGCCCCAGTGTGTGCTCCCTCTGGCACACCCTCTTCTCCAGGGCCACCCTCCATGTCCCCAAGGGCAGGTCTGTCCTGCTGCCTGCACTGGCGAATGGTCAGCAGGCTCCTGCACATGCTTTGGCAGCAGCTGGCCCAGGCAGGGTCCAGGCACACACACTGTCCCTGTCCCACCCTGACTGTGGCCATGGGGCTTTACCTCTGCCCCTGTCCTGCATCTCCAGCTCCAGACCTGCCTCCATCAAGCTGCTCTGCTCCTGGATAAGCTGGTGGAAGGAGGTGTGCAGGGCTCCTTCATTGTCTGGGCTCGGCTCCTCGCTGTGGGGACACAAACCTCTGCTCCTAGGGCTGGGGCAGGCTCCAGGGCCTGGAGCCATGGCAAAGCCCCAGTGCCAACCCACAGCCTGGGCATGCTGCCCTATGGCACAGGCACCCAGAGCCTGTTGGGGGGGCAGGATGCTGGAGGCACCGTTCGTACACACCCATCACTCCCGGTGTCCTCGGAGACGTGGAGGGTAAAGGAGGGTGGTTGGGACATCCTGCAGGGCCGAGGGGTTTCGGTGGCACTGCGCTCCCTCCGGTACGTGCCCTGCCACGGTGAGCAGACACGGGTCAGCGGGCCTCGTGCCACAGCACCCCGATTTCCTCAGCTGCCCTGGGGGTGCCGGCCGCTGGGACGGGGATGGAGAGGATGCTGGGGCGAGCCGGGGCTGTGGGGCTAAACCCGTATCTAAACCCGTGAGGAACACAGGGTCCGCCCGGCCCGGAGCCAGCGGGCCGGGACCTGCGGAGGGGCAGGAAGGAAGGGCAGCGGAAGGCGGCGCAGGTTCCGCCGAGCAGGTCCCGCCGCACGGGGCGCCCGCACCAGCCCCGGGCTGCGCCGCGGGAGCCCTCCCGCCTCCGGGGCTCTGTGCTTCCGACCGGCACCCGCGGTCCCAGGGCGGCGAGGACGCCCCTTCTGCGGGCCCACGGGGCTCGAATTGGCCCTGCGAGCTCGAACGGCTCCCTCCCCCCGAGCAGAGCCGTACCTGCCCCCCCCAGCCTGTGCCCTCCCGGGACCCGAGAGCGGCTCCACAGAGGCCCCGCCGCTCGCGTCCCGCTGCCCCCGCCTGCCGGAGCCCCAGCGCCTTCTCCTTCCTCCCTTCCCTGCTCCCCCTCCACCACCCCAAGCCTCGGCAGCCCTCCCAAGGCGGACTGAGGCTGCTCCGGGCAGGGGGTGGCACCCGCGAAGCTCCCGGCCCGACCCCCGACGCCCCCCCCCCCGACATCTCCCGCCCGCTCCGGTACCAGGAACCGGCGTCTCGGCGCGGGAGCGAAGCCGCCCCGTCCAGCTGACCCCGGGCCAGCCCAGCGCTCCCGGGGCCGAGAGGGGCGATCCCCCAGCGAAGCGCCCTGCTCCCCGCCGGTCACCGAGACCCGCCGCGGGGCCGGGCCTGTCCCGCGGCACGAAGTACTTCGGGAGGTGCCGAGCGCTCCCCCGCCGCGGACCGCGTGGAGCTGCCGTGGGGCCGGGGCTCCCCGTGCGCGGCTGCCGCTCTCCCCACCGCGCGGCACCGATCGCCAGCGAGGCCCGGAGGTCCCGGGGCTGGCGCTGCGCTCAGGGGCCGGGGTGGAGGGGACCCGGTCCCCACAGGCTGAGCCCGCTCCGCCCCGCCCTGTTGGCAGCGGGGACCGCCCTGCCCGGTCCTGCCCGCCCCGGGGCGGTACCGCGCAGAAGCGGCGGGGACGCGGCGGCGGCTCCGGTGCAATGGAGGGCGGCGGCGGCGGCGCTTACGGGGCGGCCAAGGCCGGCGGCGCCTTCGATCTGGGCCGCTTCGTGCAGCAGCCGCAGGTCGTGGCGAGGATCGCCAGCGCGGTGAGTCGGGGCTGGCGGGACGGGAACTGGAGGGGCCCGGCCCGACCCGACCTTCCCCTCCTCTCCCTGTCGCCCGCCCCCTCCGGGCCCCCCCGGCCCGGCGTTCCCTTCCCTTCTGCCCGCCCCGGAGCCCGCCCGCCACGGCCTTCTCCTTCCCCTTCTCTTTCTCTCTCCCGGCCCGAACATTCAGCGGAGCCCGGCCCGGCCCGGCCGGTGCCGGTGCCCCCAGCCCTGGCAGGACTCCTCGGCCCCGGTGCTGCCCACCGGACGCCCGCTCCCATCTCCGCAGGTCTTTGCCCTGATCGTCTTCTCGTGCCTGGTCGGGGAGGGCTACACCAACACCTCCAGCTCCTCCCAGCTCTTCTGCATCTTCAACCGCAACGAGGATGCCTGTCGCTACGGCATCGGCATCGGCGTCATCGCCTTCCTCGCCTGCGTCTTCTTCTTCATGGTGGACATCTACTTCCCACAGATCAGCAACACCACGGACCGCAAGTACCTGGTCCTGGCAGACCTCGGCTTCTCAGGTGCATGCGGGTGTGGGCAGGGCTGTGCCTCCTGCGCTGCCACAATGGCTGCCCTTGTCCCATGACGTGGCTGCTGGTGCCTGGCGAAGGGAGTCGCTCCCGCCTGGAGCACTGCCCACAGACCACGCGCTCGTAGCTCAAGGCGCTTCGAGGAGCCCCGGGAGGCTGTGCCGGTGCCTGCGCCAGCCACCAGCCCTATGCAGCCTGGTGGGAGCAGGGTCACGGCTGGGGACCCTCCTGGAGCAGCAGGGTGCAGCCCTGGCCCCTCATGCTCCTGCCTTCCTCCTTTAGGTCTCTGGACGTTCCTGTGGTTTGTTGGCTTTTGTTTCTTGACCAACCAATGGGCCTGGACACGGGCCGAGGATGTGCACATCGGGGCTGACTCTGCCCGCGCTGCCATCACCTTCAGCTTCTTCTCCATCTTCTCCTGGGTGAGTGCTGCCGCGGGGGAGCTGGGCACTGCCGTGCTCGGGAGGGTGGTGCAGGGGCTCCCCGGCCACATAACCCTGACGCCACCGGCCCCTTGTCTCTCTAGGGCCTACTGATCACCTTCGCTTACAAGAGGTACAAAATGGGGGTGGAGGACTTTGCTCAGAGCTACATCGACCCCAGCCCGGAGGTTTCAACTCCCTACTCCAGCTACCCCAACATCAGCCATGAGAGCTACCAGCAGCCACCTTTCACCCAAACGGCGGAAGCCCCTGAGGGGTACCAGCCGCCGCCAGTGTACTGAGCCACGGCCGGGGCCCAGCAGGGATGGCTGCACCGGTGCAATGCTCTGCTGTGGGATGCAGGGGAGGGACCTGCCACGTGAAGGGGGATGGTGGGTGGGAAAGTGGCTGCTGCTTTGTGTGAAGGCCACTGGCCGTGGTGTGAGGTGCAGAGCTCCCCAGTGATGGGACCCGGTGTGCAATGCACAACTACTGAGTGCAGCCCCATGGCTGTGGGGAGGGTGAGTGTGTGGGGGTGGCCCTGTGAGGCCAAGCTCCTGCCCTTGGGGAAGCTGCTGTGGGGTGAGTGTGTGGTTTGCACCCCTAGCTCTGCCCTGGCCATGCCCATGACTGCTGCCCTATTCTGGTGCCTTTCCAGCCTCGCTGGCTGCAACCCCTCAAGTGCCAGCTTTTGCTGCCATAGCACAGCTGGGCCATCCGGCTCCTGCCTCTCCCGTGCCTTCCCCTCAGCTGCTGCTGGGTGAGCTTCATGCCAAAGCCCTGTCTTATCTCACCTCTAAACTCTGTGCTGTGCCTTCCCACAGCCTGCATCAGAGCTGCCAGTGCTGGGTGATGCTGTTTGGGATCTGTGGGAGCAGTGAGTGCTGAGATCTCAGTGGGCCCAGGGCTGACCCTGCTCTCCAACAGGGGCCCTGGGTGTAATTCCTGCTGCTGCAGCCCCTGCACTTGCCTCTGCATCCCACACCCTGCTCAGCTCCCGGCCCATGCCAAGGCACTGGTGCAGACTGCCTATCTCAGGTTGTGTGTGCTGCTGCACCCAGCAGCAGTGTGGTGTGTGAGCTGGCGCTGCTGGGGCTGGCCTTCCGAGTAGTTCTTTGCCACTGTAGATACAGAATAAACTTTTTCACCTTGCCCCCCCCCTGTCTCTCTTCTCTGGGGAAGCAAAGCAGGATTCCTCCTCTCCCCCCAAGGCCCAGGGCCCCCAGGCCAGGGAGCAGCAGAGCAGACCCAGCCAACTCCTGCACTGCAAACAGCACACTCATGCTGGGTCTATTTTTAGTCTGTTGGGTAGGTTTGGGCTCCAGCACAGGCAGCTGCTCTAAGCTATCAGCCTGTGCTGGTCCCTGCAGGGGAGCCTGCTCAGAGCAGATGGGTATAAAACACACACAGAAACTCATTTATTTATTAAGCTTAATTCATCGAGTTAGTTATTAAAGGGGAAAGCCCAGGCCTGGCACTTGCACACTTGTGTGTGCTAGAACTGTTACCACCTCGAGTAATGCAGAGGGACACATGCTTACCAGATGGTGTCATAACCTCCCAGGGAGGTCCCTCCTCCTGGCTGCTGGGTGTAGGCAGAAAGCACTGCATTGCACAGGGAGATGTGAACTGGCCAGAACCAAGAGCTGCTGCTTGGAGCTTGTGGGCACTGGCCTAAAGGTAAAAGTGCTTTGGGGAGGAATAAGGAAGAAAACCCAAACCTTCCAGAAAGCCAAAGGTCAAACAAAGGGAGAAGAGGATCCTTCAGCCAACCTGCAGCAGAGGAATCAGCCTTGAGATGTTTCAGAGAGCTCAGAAGGCAGCAATGTACATGACTAAGAGCTGAGAACCACTCACCCAAAGCAGAAACCCTTCTCCACGTCACTGGGTCTTTGAAGGAACAGCAGCCCAACCCTTGACAGGTTGTCCTGAGCCTCCAACCCCTTCACAGGTAACTGAGCATCGAAGGGGCAGCACTAAGCTTGGCCCTGAGCAAAATCCCCTTCCAAAAGAACCCTGTCTTAAACACAGAGGCTACTGCTAGACTAACACTAGTAAGAGCCTGCTGTCAAGCTGCCCATCACCCTACCTTTCCCCCTCTTTGTTTCAACAAAGATTTACAGGACAGTTAGATCAAGAGTGTAATGGCAAAGGGATGAGCCACATGCAGTCATTCAAAGGGAACACCGAAAGCCAGGCTGAGGGATGGGTTATCCCCTTGGACTGCATGGAAAAGGGAAGTGGGTTAAACACACTGAGTTACCGTACATTGTGTCTTAAGAAACCTGGGATTTAGCAACAGGGCACCAGAGAGAAACAGTTGCATTCCCAGGTGAGGGAACCAGCCAGCAGAGCCAGGCTGAGCCTATGCCCAGCCCAGGAGAGCAGCTGGAGCAGTGGGAACCTGCAGCCCGACTGCTGGGACAGGGTTCCAGGGCTGGTTTGGTGGCAGCATCAGTAGCTACACTTGTCCCTTCCTGTGTTCTGAGACAGGAACTCCCTTTGAGCCAGGCTTCTGCTTCTGTGTCAGGTGCAGCTGATCCTCTTCCTCCCCGTGCCTGGAGCAGGGGAGTGGCAGGGGCTTTGCAGGGGGCACTGGACAGTTCGGTTCTGTGGAAGCAGAGGAAGCCGGAGCAGTGGGAGCTACAGCCTTCAGCTGCCTTCTGCTTGGCCTCCTGCACACAGGAGCCCAGCAGTCAGGAAGCAAAGATCTTGCGGCAGGAGGCAGCCACATTGAGCTGCTTCAGCATCAGGGGCACATTCTCCTTGTTCTCTGGCCCAGGCTGAGGGGGCTGATGGCGGAAGTAGCAGGCTCTGCAGACGGAGTGGTACTTGTCTGCTCCTCCAATCACCTCAACCTGGCAGGAAAAATGGGGGAGTGACTGCAGAGCTCAGCTCCCCTGAGAAGATCCCTCCAGAACAGCAGGACTGGCAAGGTGAAGCTACTGCAGGGCTTTCTCTTCCAAGGGAATCCTAGACTGGTTTGGGTTGGACCTTAAATCTCATCCAGCTCCACTCCTCTGCTACGGGCAGTGACCCCTTCCACTGGAGCAGCTTGTTCCAAGCCCCTGTGTCCAACCTGGCCTTGAGCACTGCCAGGGATGGGGCAGCCACAGCTTCTCTGGGCACCCTGTGCCAGCGTCTCGGCACCCTCACAGGGAAGAGCTTCTGCCTAAAAGCTCATCTCAGTCTCCCCTCTGGCAGGTTCAAGCCATTCCCCTTGGCCTGTCTCTACAGGCCCTTGTCCAAAGCCCCTCTCCAGGTTTCCTGTAGCCCCTTTAGGCACTGGAGCTGCTCTAAGGTCTCCCTTTAAGGAGCCTTTTCTTCTCCAGGTTGAACCAGCCCAGCTCTCTCAGCCTGGCTCCTTAGAACTCACCTCCCTCTCTGCTCCCAACCTCTTTGTGTAGGAGGCCTCTCGGTAGCACTCCATGCACACAGCATTCAGCTTCACCACACTCTCTGCCAGCGGCACCAGGTTCAGGATGCTCCCGAAGGCCTGTGCCAAGAGAGCAGGATGGTTCTGTTGGATGGTTCTATGAGGGGGTCAAAGCAGCCGCTGTACTAAAAAAATGTCTTACCTTTCTCTGGAAAGTGCCATCAAGAGCAGCAACTATGATGGTTTTTCCAGTGTTGGCCATCATCTCACAGAACTCCACAATGTCTGGGAACTAGAGGGGGTACCGAAACAGTGTAAGGAGTAAGAAGGGGCAGTACTCTGCTCAGGATCCAGCAGCACAAGGCACAAAATAAAATGGAGGCATGCTGCCTACCCCTAAAATGGGCTCCAGCCCCCCTGTCCTCAGCCTGCAGAAAGGACAGCCTTTGACTGTACAAGCACAGGGGGATCAAATAGCCCCAGGGTATTCCTCCCCCTATTCCCCCCGAGGATTTAGACCCTGGGCTGCACGGGGGAACTCCCATCCTGCAGAGCTTCCCAGGACCTGCCCTGGCACTTACAAACTGGCCCTCATCGATGCCGATGACTGTGGAGCTCAGCGCCTCCTGGTACACGTCCTTGAGGAGACAGGCTGGCACGGCCTCCATGGTGTTCCTTGGGAAGGGAGAGCAGGTGAGGCCCGCAGCCGAGCTGCTGGGCCCGCAGCGGGGGTGCCCCTGCTGCAGGGACTCACTTGTCGTGCGTGGAGACACCGGAGGACCCGTAGCGCGTGTCCTTGGCGTATTTCACCAGGAGGCAGCGGTACTGAGCGAGCTGGAACCGCCGCACCCGCCGCATGAGCTCCGTGCTGCGGGAGAGACGGCGGTCAGCGGGACCGGGGCCGTCCCCTGAGCCCCACACAGGCCCCCTCCTGCTCCCGCCCGCCCCCGGCCTACCTCTTCCCGGAGAACATGGGTCCGAAGATCACCTGCGGCAGAACCGGGTGTCAGCGGCTGCAGTCCGCGCGACGGAGCCCCACAGGCAGCTCCCGCGCCCCGCCTGGCGCTGCCCCGGGCCCCCCCGCAGCCCGGCCACAGCACAGACCCCCCCCGCCCCCGCCCCCGCCCCCGCTCCCGCTCCCGCTCCCGCTCCCGGTACCTGGATCTGCCCGCGCGGGCGGCCGGGGGAGCCGGGGTGGACCCCGGGCACCGTGAGGCAGCTCATGGCTGCGCTCACCGACCGACTGACCCCGGGCACCGCTCCACCGCCCCGCCCCACGGCCAATCAGAGAGGCCTCCCGCCCCGGCTCCGCCGCGCCAGCCAATCGGAAGTGTCTCTCGCCGCGCCTCGGGCCAATGGCGGCACAGGCGCGAAAATTCTTTTTTCCCCTCTGAGAGCCCGCGCCTTCCCGGCGTGCACCGCGCGCCGCACTGCGGTGACGTCATCGCTCTGCCTGCCCGCCAGGTACCCCCGGCCACACCCCCCGGGCGGCCAATGGGAGCGGAGCTGCCCCGCCCGGGGCTCCGCCCCCGTCACGTGCTCCGGCCCCACCTCCCGAGGTGCCAATGGGAGCTGGACGGCCCCGCCCCCGGGCGGACCTGGGACCGGGACCGGGACCAGGACCGGGACCGGGATCGGGATCGGGATCGGGATCGGGACGGGGACCGGGACCAGGATCGGGACCGGGACCGGGACCGGGATCAGGACCGGGATCGGGACGGGGACCAGGACCGGTCCAGGCCGCAGCATGGGCGGGTGGTGGGACATGGCCGCGGAGGTGGGTCCGGGGGGTGGGCAGCGCACGGCTCCCGCCGGGTTGCGGGGTCGGGGCGCCTCGCCCGGTCCCCGCCGCGCCGCAGCCGCCGTGCCCCGCAGGAGCTGGAGCAGCAGTACTCCCCCAGCCGCTGGTCTCCCCGCCTGGGCCCCGACGAAGTGATCCAGGCCCACCTCGCGGCGGCGGCGGCAGGTGAGGAGCGGGCTGCCCGGTCCGGGGGGCCGGGACCGGGAGCTGGAGCGGGGCTGACCCAGGCGCCGTGTCCCTTCTCCCACAGGAACCCAGCGGGCCCGGGCTGGCGCGCAGACCTCGCTGCACGTCCCTTACGGAGACGGGGACGGCGAGAAGCTGGACATGTACCTCCCCACGGACCCGTCTGGAAGTAGGTGACGGGCAGGCCGTGGCAGCGGTGGTGGGCGGGGGCTGTGACCCCTGCTCACCCCGGGCTGTGCTGCACAGCCTTCCCTGTCCTGGTCTATATCCATGGTGGATACTGGCAGTGCCTGAGGTGAGGCAGGCTGTCGGCGAGGGAATCCCTTGGGAAGGGAGTCTCCAGACCCCGTTACTGCTTCCCTCCTCATGACACCGGGCTTGTTCTCGGTATGCTGGGTCTGGACCCAGAGACCGCGACCCCCACAACCTGGCCACCTTCTGTTTCCCTGCAGTAAAGACGAGTCAGGGTTTGCTGCCCCCTCGCTGGTGTCACAGGGCGTGGGGCTGGTGGCCGTGGGCTACGACATCGCTCCCAAAGGTAGGTGCTGGCCGGGAGAAGCTGTGGGTGCCTCTGCTAGCTCCATGCCCTCCTGACGCTCAGCTCTGCCCAGGACACATGGACGCCATGGTGCTGCAGGTGCGGCGCAGCATCGCCTTCCTGGTGGAGCGCTACGATAGGATCAGGTGGGCTACAGGCCACCCCCGGGCCCCTCTGCCCCACCAGCACAGCTGGCATCTGGTTGTCAAGGCAAACTGTGCATGTGGTGGTCCCTGCACGGGGTTTGGTGGGGGCAGCCGACCCCTGAGCTGTGATGGGGCTTTGACAGCTCAGTCTGAGCGCTGGGCAGCACCAGTGGCTGTGGTGCCTTTGTTGCGGTGTGAGGTGTCAGCCGATGGACTGAGAAATGTGTTTGGGCTGTGTTTGGATTGTGGCGCTTGTGGAGAGAGCAGGGTGTCCCCAGGCTCCTGTCCCACTGGCTCATGGCTCCCTCTCTGCAGAGGCATTTATCTGTGTGGACACTCAGCGGGGGCTCACTTGGCAGCCATGGTGTTGGCCACGGACTGGACGGAATACGGTGTGGTGCCAGATATCAAAGGTAGCAGCACCATGTCCAGGCACAGGGGCTCAGAGGGAGATGGTGTCTACACCCAGGAAGTGGTGTCTCTGTTGCCTATATGGGGCTGTGGGAGCTGAAGGAGACAAGTTGCCCAAGCTGATGTCAGCCAGGACATGCTGGGAGTGTGGGACTTGGCTCCTGGACAAGCTGCCCCTGTGCCCACCAGCCACTCTCTGAGGTCTGGGATGTGACACGGGCACAAGAAAAGTGGTCTCACAACCCTTCACCCTCCTCTGGCCCAGGAGCTGTGCTGGTGAGCGGCGTGTACGACCTTGAGCCCATCCTGCACACCTATGTGAACGATGCGCTTCATATGAGCCGGTGAGCGGGGCTGTGCCCTCTGCCTGCCGGGGCACGTGGCTCAGTACACGGGGCTGCAGCCACTGCCACCGCGGTGTCTCCTCAGGGAGGTGGCCCAGCGGAACAGCCCCCTGCTGCACATCGCCCCTGCAGCACCTGCGGCCGCAGCCTGCAAGGTGCTGGTGGCCATGGCCCAGCACGACTCCCCTGAGTTCCGCCGGCAGTCGCGGGAGTACGTCCTGGTGAGCGCCGGCAGGAGCCGGGACCCGCCCGGCTGGGAGGAAGGGCTCGGGTGCTGTGTCAGCAGCAGTCCTGCTGCTGTGGGGGATGACAGCGGCTCGGCTCGGCTCGGGGGGATGCTCATCCTTGAGGAGCAGTGATTCCCTCTGCTGATGGGGGACGGGTCCCTCCCACCAGTGCCTCTCTCTCTGCAGGCCCTGCGTGCAGCTGGCTGGTCCGTCTCCATGCTGGATCTTGCCGGCGTGGATCACTTCGACATTGTTGAGAAGCTGTCTGAGGACAGCTACATCCTCACTCAGGTAGGGGAAGAGCCCCCATCCTCCCTTCCCTCCAAGCACAGCCAAGATTGCACAGCCCGGGGGGCTGTGCTGAGGGGAGTGCTCCCTGCATATGGGTGTGGGGCTGCAGCCTCAGGCCTTCAGGAGCAGAGGAGTGGGGCCAGGCACTGCTCACAGGGCTCCACTCCTCATCTCAGGTGATTCTGAACATGACTTTGAGTGCCTGATGGCATGGCGGGAGCAGAGATGGGAAACAGCCCTGTGCATACCCAGCCCTGCTGCCCTCCTCCCTGGCTCCCTGTCTGCCCTCCTCCCTGGGCTGATGCCTGCAGCCAGGCAGGGGGCTGGATCAGGGGAGCACCAGTTACTACCGGGGATAGCATTCCTTTGCTGGGGTGTTTCTGCCCATATGAAGTGCGTGGAGCTGGCAGACATGGTGGGCTATGTCTGGACAAAGGGGTGATGATGTTTCTTCCCTTTAAACTGCTTATTGCCAACACAAAATAAACAAGGAATAACTGCCGCCTGGGTGGAACTACTTCCTGGGGAGCTGGGGCTGTGCTAAGCCAGCAGGTACCTCCGGGCTGTGATGATGTCCCTGCTGCACAGTCAGGAGAGCTGCACACCTGGGAAGAAACACCCTGCGCAGCCACAGCACTGCCAGAACATGTTTATTTCATGCCCTGACCATCCCTCGGGATCTGCCTCTCCACTGCAGCATCCTCACACCCATGCAGTGCACGTGAGCCAGGCACAGCGTGTGGCCTTGGGGGGGGGGGGTGTCTGGCTCCACCTTTGGGTGCTCTATGGGACCCAGGTTACAGTAGCTAAGCTGCTGCAGGACCTAAAGGATGCCCTGAGGATGTGTTTGCTGGGTGACCCACAAGGCAGGGACCCTGCCTCTGAGGGGACCAAGTGGCGGAGTGTGCTGTGGGCTCCCAGTGTTACCTCTGGATGTGTCTGTGAAGATGCTCCCACTGCTAGGCAGGCTGGGGTATCCCCTGGGCTGGGCTCACACTGGCTTGCGGGATGAACGCTGTGCTGCAGATGCTGTGGCTGGTCCCAGCACCTCAGCTGCCAGGACAGGGCTGGGGGGATGCTCAGGCTCCCCTTGCACTCGGAGGGGTTGGGCGCAGCCCCAGGGTCAGCTTCTCCTGGCACTTCCTGGCCACAAACTCCAGCTTCTTCTTTGCAAGCTCGGTGTCGCGGGCCGAGATGTCGCAGTGCCAGACAGCGCGCACGGTGTGTGCCGACCAGGGGAAGAGCAGGACACTGACAGCGTGGCCAGTCTGGGCCAGCTCCTCCTCGCTCACAGCCCGCAGGTGCTCACAGAGCTCCACAGGGGATGGGTAGGCCCCGCTGATGTTCACCATCACAATGTTGGTCTCCACCGCCGTGAGGTTGACAGAGCAGAGGGGCGAGTTCAGCTCCTGAATGCCTGTGGGAGGTAGGGGTGGCAGGCACCGAGCCCAGTGGCTGGATAACCGGGAGGGGAGGCTGCACTGGTCTTGGCTGAAGGAGGGGCCCTTTGCCCTCCCCTCTGTGTGGCACTGTGGGCACAGGCACAGCATTGTCCTGGCACTCCAGCCAGGCAGGGACCGCAGCATCATCCTGGCCTGGCTGGAGAAACAGCCCAGGGAAGGTGCCTGTGCCGCTGTCCTGCAGCAGTGCCGGGTGCGCTGGAAGGGGTGGCGAGCCCATGCCAACCCAGCAGTGCAGCAGCACAGGGAAACAGAGAGCAGCATTAGGCTGCTTCTGCCTGCGCCTCCCGCCATGCAGAGGGCCCCCAAGATACCTTCAGCAAAGCGCCAGGCATTGTCGTGGTCCCTGCGCAGCGTCACCCCCATGCGCTCAAGGCCAACAAGGGCTGCAGCTGCCAGCACTCCGGCCTGCCGCATCCCACCACCCAGCAGCTTCCGCATGCGCCAGGCGTCGGCGACAAAGTCCTTGCGCCCAGCCAGCACTGCACCAGCTGGGGCACCCAGGCCCTGCTGAGACACCAAGGGGTGACCGGGGCTGCCCCTGCTGGGATGTGCCCAGGGACACCCCAGCCTGCAAGCTGGGTGCTCCGTCCAGTGCCCCTGAATACAGGCAAGGCCCCAGTGAGCACCTTGGAGAAGCAGAGGGCCACAGAGTCGCAGTGCTGGGTGATCTGAGCTGGCTCCATGTTCTGTGCCACTGCCGCATTCATCAGCCGTGCTCCATCCATGTGCACCTGCAGCCCGTAGCGGTCAGCGAGCCCACGGACCTGGGGGGAGGCACTGAGCTGGAGGGACCTCTGGGCCGGCCAGCGCCAACACAAGCCACGTTCTGAGCTCTGGTGTCCCTGTGGTGCACCCTGCCAGCACCAGCAGCCGGCTCTGGCTGTGGACTCGTACCTGCTGGAGGTAGGCAAGGGGCAGCACCCGGCCCCCAGCAGAGCTGTGCGTGTTCTCCAGGCACACAAGCTCGGGGCGCGGGTGGTACCGGCTGCCGTGGGCCTCACGGATTGTCAGCTCCAGCAGCTCCAGGTCGAAGGTGCCATCGGGCAAGTCCGGCAGCGCCTGGGAGTGGACACCAGCGACCTGCGCTCGGGGCAGGGCAGAGCAGAGCTGACCGGGTACGGGGACGGGGACGGTGCCCGCGGCTCCCAGCCCAGTCCCACTCGTGGCCCGGGTGATGCCGGTGATGTTTCCGCGCAACCCAGCGAGGGCTCCTCCGCCGAGCGCGGCGCCGGCAGCCAGCGGAGGGCAGCAGCAAGCCGCCCTCCCGCCCTCCCCGTCTGCGCTGCCGGGGCCACCGGGGCCGCCCCGTCCGCGGCACCCACCTGCGCGACCCCGCCGTGCTCGTAGACGTGCAGATGGGAGTCCCGGCCCAGGATCACCTGAGCTCCCCGGCGCTGGCAGTGGCACATCACTGCGAGGGAGAGCGGCCGTGAGCGGGCAGCACCCCGCTGGCACACGAAGGCTGATGGTGCAGCACAGCAGGAAGGTCCCAGCACCGCAGCCTCCTGCGGGCACCGGGCGCCTGCTCTGTCCCCCAGGTGCTGGGAGTGTTGGAGGTGAGGATGTACTGGGAGGGGCACGGTTCCCGCATCCTGGTGCACACAGGAGGCCAGGGCTGGAGCAGGTCCCACACTCCCAGGCAGCACATTGTGGACCCTGGCCACAGAAAGGCCGGGAAGCAAAGCGGGTAAAAGTTAACATAGCAGGGCAGAGGCCACACATGGGACTGACCCAAGGCAGGGGGGGGTTGCTTAGCAGGGAGCAGTTCCAGAGTCCAAACAGAGTTGTGCTGCTACAGATGTGAGGTAGAGGGGGCTGAGAAAGGGGTGAGGAGATGCACCTAGGTCAGGGAGGACCTGCTGCCCACAGCTCTGTCCTGTGGCCACCTGAGTGACTTCCCTAGCAAAAGCAGGGCTCTCCTTGGACCTTGGGGAGCAGAAGGGCTGTTCTCACCTTCTGCACCCTCCATGGGCTCAGGGCACAAATCTGCCCCTGGGTTTGTGACCTGGCTGTCCAGGGCCAGACAGGGGCTAGGCACAGCCCCAGCACTCACCAGCAATGAGGTTCGCCATTGTGGCCGTGGGCACAAACAATGCCTCCTCCATGCCCAGGGTCCCCGCGGCCAGGCGCTGCAGCTCTGCAGGAGGGAGAAGCACCGGGATCCTGGGGGGGGGGGTGTCTGCTGGCTCTAGGGCGTCGATAGGGAACCCCACAGGCCCAGGCTGCTGCCCCCAGCCTCGGAGAAGCCCCCTGGGGCTCCCCATCCCCACTGCCCTTGACTTTGGGTGGCTGCAGGCAGGGACCCCACCGTTAACCGTCGGGTCCTCCCCGTAGTCGTCGTCGCCCACGGCGGCGCGGGCCATGGCGCTGCGCATCGCCGCGCAGGGCTGGGTCACGGTGTCGCTCCGCAGGTCCACAACGAGCGGCGGGAGGCGGGGGGACCCCGCGGCTGCACCGAGCACATCCCAGCCCCCGCCGCGGGCAGCCGCCCCCACCGCAGAGCGCCCCGCGCCGCCAGCATCGCCGGGACCGCCCCGCCGCAAGGGCTCACGGGCGGAGGGAGGGGCGGGGACCGGGACCGGGATCGGGATCGGGATCCGCGGTGCGGGTTGCGCGACCCGCAGGGGCGGCCGGGCACAAGGCAGCGGGCACCTCCCGGGGCTGCCCCGCAGCGCGGCCCCTCCAGGCCCCCATCCCTCCATCCTCGCTCCTGCCTGGCCTCTGCCCAGTGCCCACCGCAGCCCTGAGACACGGTCGGGGGTGCTGGACACGGGTGGGCGCTGCTGCAGCCCCCGGCTCGCCCGCGGGCCCCTGTTTGCCAGGAGCACCCATCCCGGGTGTCCTGCCGGAGGGACCCGTGCCCCCTCGGCCTTGGCTCCGTGAGGACACACACGTCCCATGGCACCATGTGCTGGACGGCAATGGCTCCTGCCACACCGCCAGCAGGGACAGTGCAGGGTGACCTTGCGGCTGGGAATTGGCTCTGGCTTCTGGCTGCGTCTGCCCTGGAAGCAGCTGACGTCCTGTGCAGCGCAGGCAGCACGTCCGGCAGCTCCACCGGTGTTGGCTGCAGAGCTCCACAGCTCTCGGCACTCTGCCTGCACTGGGGGGGCACCAGCACCTGGCAGAGATCGCTGGAACAGGGGAGCATGTGCCCAGCACAGCAGCGAGACTCCCCCCCCCCCCCCCTCCCGGTGACCCACTGGGCTGGACCAGCCAGAGGCTGGTGAGGCTCTATGGGGCAGACCTGATCCATGATCATGGGGCTCTACTGGGAGGGGCTACACCACAGCCCCTGCTACACCTCTGCCTTCTTCCTCCCTTCACCATGTGCCAAACACATGGCCTAGGACACCCCAGCTCTCCCCCCCCATCTGAGAGCCCCCTACCACTGCCCTGGCTGGCTGCCTGTGCCCTGCCTGCATCCTGCCTGTACCCCTACACCCTTCCTGCACCCTGCCTGCACCCCTGCACCCAGGGCCTCATCACCACTGCCTGCTGCAGCCCTGCTGTCAGACCCTCAGATGAGTGATCCATAAACAGTCAGTCCTTCACAGAGACGTTTTTCACACGCAGGGCCACATGTTAACAGTTTTTCTTTATTTACTGCCTCCATTTCCTCTTTGTTCCAGGAACTTGTCCTCCAGCTTCAAGCTGCTCATGATTAGGCAAAAAGGCCTCTAATCTCCCCGATCTGATTTACCGTCACTGAGAGCAGACGCTTCCCGTTACTGGCCCTGGACCTAGAAGCACGGACAACTGAGCTGTGCCGGCTGCCGAGCCCAGCCGAGC